TCAAAGTTCTACCTCACCGGTCCACAGCAGCATGGAGGGAGGCAGCAGAGAACCCGGGCTAGAGTTCACTCTCCACTGAACCACCAGGGAAGGCAGCAGGACTGGGATATTAACTAATCTGCCCCCACCTCCACCCAAACATACAGCACATACACACACACAGCACCTACACACAGCACACACAGCCCACAAACAGCACCCACACACATACATCACCCTCGCACACACAGCACCCACACACACCCAGCACACTAACAGCATCCTCACAAACAGCACACTCACACACAAACAGCACCCTGACAAACAGCACATTCACACACAAACAGCACCCTGACAAACACACAGCACACAAACAGGACCCGAACAAACACACACACACAAACACCCTCTCACACACAGCACACTACCAGTTCCCTCACACACAGCACACAAACAGCACCCTCACACACAGCACACTAACAGCACTCTCACAAAAACACACAAAAACACCCTCACCCACATAGCACACTACAAGCACCCTCACACAGCAGTGTGTGTATATATATATATATATATATATATATACACACACACATACATATACTCATGGCGTGTGTTTGTGCTTTAGGGTGCACACCCTATTGCAATAGGCTGCGCACGCCTATGCTCACTTCCCTAATCTATGGGCTGCTGCCCCCCCGCCTCACTCCCCTAGTCTATAGGCTGCTTCCCCCCCCAAATCTATAGGCTGCTTCCCCCCCCAAATCTATAGGCTATCTCAAACCCTCACACCATCCCTCACTTACCTGATCTGTAGGCTGTCTCTGGCTGAATGTGTTGTTCCCCTGCGGTTTCAATCAGCAGAGAGAAGCAGGGATAGATGCAGCTTCCTATCCCTGTCTCTCTCCATACACAGCGCCACCTACTGGCCGGCGCCGGTATTGCAGTTCATTTTCAATCACACGAAAAAGAGCAGAACAAGCTGAAAAATCCGGGGGGGGGGGCAAGTGCCCCCCCTTGCCCCCCCCTGCGGACGCCCATGGCGAGCACCCAGGGGCTTCCTGGCATCATAGCATTTTCATTTAGGTGAAGTTGTTATGGTGACCAGAATGGTTCTTTAATTTGCTTACAAACATATATTCCTGACACCATAGTTGTGAAAACGCTATTCACCCTGGCTTTATGTGATAATGGCTATGCCCCTTCCCTTTCATGACACTGTCAAAAAGGTACCAAGCATGGATGTCATTACAATTATGCCCCCCCCTGGAAAAATTCCTGTGGACGCCCATGCCGCAGGGGGTGCTCCAGGGGAAGGTAGGCCACGGGGGGTGCCCACACCGGTAGCCATACCTCCACTAATGTTTTGGAATTGCTCCCTTAGTTGCCAGCCACCATCCAGCGCTGCAGCAGCCCTGAGGGAAGCCACGATCGCCTCAACCTCCATCACCTCAAGCCGTGTCAATCTGCAAGCCCAGGCAAACAGGAGCAGGAGGACAGGAAGCTGTTTGCTGGCCTGTATCCCAAGTGGCACTGAGGTAAGACCTCCCACACACTAACTCACATTAAACCTAACCCCTCCCACACACACTTCCCAAGTCACTCCCCTGCATCTATCCCCACACTCCTACATGTGCCCTTGTCCATTTCACTGCGCTATCTCCCCAGGGCCTTTCCTATTAATAAATGTGTAAAAACACTTATTGAGTTTTTGTGCAAGTAATACCTGGTCAAAAATTTGTAATGTGTTTTGTCTTTTGTTTCAAATATATATAGAGTTCAATTAAAAAGAAATTTTAAAAAATACATAGCTTCATGTTCTTTAAAACGTATGGGTAATCTGAACATGACCTAAAGTAAAAGATAGGAAATGCAAAAAACGGCCAGGCTCTTCGTGTGCACGACATTCAAAACTACACTGGCACTCAAAAAAGGGAGGGGACCAAACCACTTACAGTAAACAAACATGTAGGCTGTCAAAAAGAATTACTAAAATTGACCATAAGGGTACCAACAAAGAAATATTTTCTAAGTATTAGAAAATGCATTTCTATACAAGTCACTTGTAGTTGTGTGATGCACATCCTATGAACAATTTTTCATTAGTGTTCTATAATGGTAAAGCTGTTATTATGTGTGTATACACTGTGTACCTCATTGCAATATACAGAGCAGATTGCTTCCCTGTGTTCTATTTTCAGATCAAGAGCATTCGTGTTATTCTACAAAATGCCACCTCATTAATACCTACTCTTCAGAGTAATACCATGATTAACAGACAGGTAGATTAGTAAATGTAAGCACAGCAGAGACAGGTTTCCACAGCAGATGGCTCATCAGTGAAATAAAAAGCAATATAGTCCACTGTGCAAAGATCTGTCTATCTTTATATTTCATTCTTATTCTAATTCTTATCCCCCATATATGTATATATCCACTCATTTAAACACCATACTTGCATGATGTGACGTACACTGTACACACAATGCATTCAGGGTTATTTACTGAAGTAAGAATTCTAAGTGAATTTCAAATATAAGACCAAGGTAGCTAAATAAAAAAAAAAAATAGCTGACTTTTTTCAGTTCAGCTGTTTTCACCATAAGTTTGAATTTCACCTTGAATTCTCACTTTAGTGAATAACACTATTAAAGTGACACTCCAATACACTTCTCAGCCATCCTGAGACTAATTGTAGTCTTACTGCTGGGCGGCAGCTCATATTTGAGGCAGCTGCCATTAATCCAGCACCTCTCCCATTACTGACACGTCAAGAGAAGTGATATTGAGGCATAGCAGTGTGGTTCTCTATTCTCAGTTCCTCACCCTGCATATCACTAATGGTAAACAAGTGGAATTAAGGACAGCACACACAGTTAGCAGATATGTATGTCCTGGTGTTGCTGTAAGAATAGATCGTCTGAAGATATTGCAGTTCTTAAAATTAACAGCTGGACACTACGATCAATATTTAAATGAGCTGTTATTATTTATATCAAATATAAATGTTTTAGTTTTATACTGTATGCTGACAGTGGTAAATATTTTTTAGTATGTTCCTTGATAAAAATCAGAGCAATGCTTGGTAAGCAAGAAAATTTCTAAACCGTTATGTAGGATATAAAAATATATTATGGTAGAACATAAAAGAAATGAATTGTAGAGTGTGAGATTTTGCTCATTCTGTATGTAATGCCTCCTTGTTCTTTGTTAAATACCTTCATTTGCTTGACATACGTGAGGTTTGTTCTTTATTTTACAACACTACAAAACAGGTTGACATTTTGCAATACTGCATAGGAATAATGTTTGTAATAAAATGAAACACAATCAAGAACAAAATGGAAGCAGGCACACAGAAGCATAAATATGGGGCGAGTTTAGTTTTTACATTCGTAGACAGTGACACCTTTCACAATGCCTTCAGAACAAATAATTCTATTCAGAAAGTTAAATGTCACCTAGTCCTGTATGCGTTTCAATATAGCAAACAGTATATACTTTCTGTTTTCTATTCTATTAATTATTCATAGCAATAGGGAATCCACCCTTCACATCTCAACAATATGAATTCACATCTACTTTCATTTTCTATTGCGCGGAAATGCGCAGAAATGAAAAATAAAATGAAACCCGACTCGCATTCTACATCCAGCAGAAAAACAGAGGGCATCATCAGATCAAACTTCGAGCTTCAGTTTAGAAGTCGGAAAAGGAGAAGGAAACGAGGGCTTTGAGCACCATCAACAAACTACATGCATTCTTGCAGACTGGACATCAACTCACCTTAACCTTTGAGGTTAATTGTAATTAATTCTGAGCCAAAGCTTCTTGTCCAACATTGGTGCCTGACTTCACAAATGTTACTTTGGGTGAATGGGCACGAATTCCTACAGACAGAATAGAGAGAGAGAGAAGCAGCTGAGATAGCTTCAAAGGGGATATCCAACATGCTCATATAAGTGTGATAGATGGGTTTTCAAAGTTTTGACCATATAGTGAGCACGTGCATTTAATTTCAACATTATTTTTTTGTTCATCCTCCAACTCCTGAGCCTGGCTACAAGATTAGGGGCACAACAAAAGTTCCATGCATAGATTCCCATTATAATTGTTATAATTTATAAAGCACCAACCATTGCTTAGAAATTATAAAATGTGAAAATATTTGACAACGGGTAATTCATATACAGAATATAACAGAGACAAGAGGTGAGGAAGGCCATGTTCAAACGTCCTCACAATCTATCTCAATCGATGAGACTGATCAGAACACCTCTGACATTTGTCGTGTGTGACGAGACCAATCTCGCCACATTGCATTGGAGAAGCCTGGTTGCTCGCCTGCTGCCTTTGGACTATGGCCCCCTTTTAAAAGACTTTATTTTTGCATGCAGTTTCAATCTACCGAACAACCGTACGAATGACTGGACCACCTGGGAGCTGGAGTGTGCCGGCAATTAACCTCCCTGAAGCTGCGGTTAACCGCAGCTTAATTGATGAACGCTGGGTGGCCGCCGTTCGTATCCCGAACACGAGGTCGCGGCCATTTTAAACCATACGAATGAACAGCTGTGTTCGCCTCTATTTTCATGGAACTAAAATCGGACACAGTTTTGCGCGAACACCGCTGAAGCCGCCGACCTCCCTTCTTGTTCGGTGAAAGCACACGAATGACCCGGTGTTCGGTATTTTTGTGTGAATGTCTTATACCCCAGATAGGAATCCCATGGAGCAAATTCGTATGAAACTGACTGTAAGGACTTTGGCTCCATGGCGATTAAACTGCATTCGTGTGGTCTGAGTGCCATTCACCTAATAATGTGCACTCAGACCTGAGCTATCTGGGGATATGTTACATGTCTGTGTTTTATGTAGTAAATGTTACTTTGTGCATTTTAAAGTGTTATGCTGGTTTTGTGTTCCCACGTGTGTAATGGAGTTTTGCCTTTGTCTTGGGAGATAATTGAGTTACTTCCCAATTATCTCCCAGGGCAGAGGGGAGGAAGCCAGGATGCATTGTGGGAATATACTGTGACTGTGTGTCCTAATTGTATACTTGTCTGTCCCTTGTCACAGTCTCCCATTTGGTCCCCTAGGGGAGTGTCCACCAGGTGGGAGACCTGCATAAAAGCCGGGCAGGTAGCCCTCATTAAACAGACCACTGCTTGACCCTCAACGCGGAGCCTTGTCTCGTCTTTGGGGGGATTTACTGTATGCTGCTAAGGACTGATTGCCAGGAGTGTAAGCCGCTTGGAAGCTTTTCCTGTTCGCCTGCTAGCAGCTATTCGTATGGTTCCTGTTCGTTTATTTGAAGTGCTACCTTATTCCCTTGTATGCCGTTCGGGAGTTTGGAGCATTCACTTATTGGCGGTTCGTGAGTTTTGGTGATTATACCGTAGCTGTGCCTGTCTCTGAAAAGGGGGATTATCGTCTAAGCGGTTTTTTCCCCTTTTGTGCAAAACGGTCCGTTACAATTGGTGGCAAGCGGCGGGATCGTTCCCACGGACTACAGGACAGCTACAGGAGACACCATTCCGTGGATTTACAATTTGAGGGCAATGCATGTCCCAGTACAGCGACCCTGACAGCAACAGCATGGAACCAGCAGTGGCGTACAGCTACTCAAGGAGAGAGTTTGACAATATGATGGGATTGCGGCTGAAGTACTACGGACCCAATCCACCGGAGAAATCGGTGCAGCTTATAAGGAATCTAGTGTTCAAGAATCTGCAACACCGGGCAGAAAGAGAAGGTCAGCTGGAACGTTGGGAAGAACTCCAGCGACAGGTACTGCAGGGAATTGGGAGCCCAGTCTCCATTCCCCAGCGGCAGTGTGAATGCAGGGAATTGGGAGCCCAGTCTCCATTCCCCAGCGGCAGAGTGAATTGCAGGGAATTGGGAGCCCAGTCTCCATTCCCCAGCGGGAGAAATTGCAGGGAATTGGGAGCCCGGTCTCCATTCCCCAGCGGGAGAAATTGCAGGGAATTGGGAGCCCGAGCTCCATTCCCCAGCGGGAGATATTGCAGGGAATTGGGAGCCCGAGCTCCATTCCCCAGCGGGAGATATTGCAGGGAATTGGGAGCCCAGTCTCCATTCCCCAGCGGCAGTGTGATACACAGGGAATAGGGAGCCCAGTCTCCATTCCCCAGCGGCAGAGTGTCCTACCGGGAATAGAGAGCCCAGTCTCCTTTCCCCAGCAGCAGGACACTGTATTGGGAGCGGAGACAGTCGGTCTCCCTCCACAGAGGATGAAAATAGGTATGGGAGAGGAGCTTGCTACCACCTCTCCCCAGCGGCAGATCATTAATGGGCAGGGAATAGAGAGCTCGGTCTCCTTTCCCCAGCGGCAGAGTGTTATATTGGGAGAGGAGCCTGTTACCCCCTCTCCCCAGCGACAGGGCTGTCTAGCCAAAGGGGAGACAGTCGGTCTCCCCCTCCAGCAGCAGAGATGGGTAACCAAAGGGGAGACGGTCGGTCCCCAGCAGCAGGACTGTGCATCTAAAGGGGAGACAGTCGGTCTCCAGCAGCAGCAGCAGAGCGGTGTATTTAAAGGGGAGACAGTCGGTCTCCCCCTTCAACAACCAGGCTTCCACCAGGCTACCCTCCCAGTAGCGCTGGCAACAGGGCAGAGTGCCGCTGGTCTCTGCCCACGCAGCAACCCACCAAGTCAGCGTACCCGTACCCAGCACAGCCGTGGTGAGGCACCTGGACATGGACAAGTTTCTTCTCTACCCAGGTGTAGTAACCATTTATTGCGGGTGGGCTGTGCTGTGGATTATTTGTTGTGGGTGGGCTGCTGGACTAACAAGGGCACTGACCGGCAGGAGGTCAGATACCCTGTTAGTCTGTTTGGAAAAGGGGAGAGATGTGACGAGACCAATCTCGCCACATTGCATTGGAGAAGCCTGGTTGCTCGCCTGCTGCCTTTGGACTATGGCCCCCTTTTTAAAAGACTTTATTTTTGCATGCAGAAAAGCTGTATTCGTGCTTTTCTGCCGGTTGTTCGGTAGTTTCAATCTACCGAACAACCGTACGAATGACTGGACCACCTGGGAGCTGGAGTGTGCCGGCAATTAACCTCCCTGAAGCTGCGGTTAACCGCAGCTTAATTGATGAATGCTGGGTGGCCGCCATTCGTATCCCGAACACGAGGTCGCGGCCATTTTAAAACATACGAATGCACAGCGGTGTTCGCCTCTATTTTCATGGAACTAAAATCGGACACAGTTTTGCGCGAACACCGCTGAAGCCGCCGACCTCCCTTCTTGTTCGGTGAAAGCACACGAATGACCCGGTGTTCGGTATTTTTGTGTGAATGTCTTATACCCCAGATAGGAATCCCATGGAGCCCATTCGTATGAAACTGACTGTAAAGACTTTGGCTCCATGGCGATTGAACTGTATTCGTGTAGTCTGAGTGCCATTCACCTAATAATGTGCACTCAGACCTGAGCTATCTGGGGATATGTTACATGTCTGTGGTTTATGTAGTAAATGTTACTTTGTGCATTTTAAAGTGTTATGCTGGTTTTGTGTTCCCACGTGTGTAATGGAGTTTTGCCTTTGTCTTGGGAGATAATTGAGTTACTTCCCAATTATCTCCCAGGGCAGAGGGGAGGAAGCCAGGATGCATTGTGGGAATATACTGTGACTGTGTGTCCTATTTGTATACTTGTCTGTCCCTTGTCACAGTCTCCCATTTGGTCCCCTAGGGGAGTGTCCACCAGGTGGGAGACCTGCATAAAAGCCGGGCAGGTAGCCCTCATTAAACAGACCACTGCTTGACCCTCAACACGGAGCCTTGTCTCGTTCTTGGGGGGATTTACTGTATGCTGCTAAGGACTGATTGCCAGGAGTGTAAGCCGCTTGGAAGCTTTTCCTGTTCGCCTGCTAGCAGCTATTCGTATGGTTCCTGTTCGTTTATTTGAAGTGCTACCTTATTCCCTTGTATGCCGTTCGGGAGTTTGGAGCATTCACTTATTGGCGGTTCGTGAGTTTTGGTGATTATACCGTAGCTGTGCCTGTCTCTGAAAAGGGGGATTATCGTCTAAGTGGTTTTTTCCCCTTTTAGGCTAAACGGTCCGTTACATCGTGTGAATAAAACTTCTAAGAATTATCAGACTAAAGGGATACTATAGTGCCAGGAATACAAAGCTCCCTTTGCCTCTCCCCACCCTTGCGCCCTCCCCTAGTCAGTGAATAAAGGGTTAAAAAAATCCAATGTCCCTCTGTGCTGGGTTGTGGTTCCGCCGTCTCCAATGTCCTGCAATGAGTGGGAGCTAATGAGCATGCACGGCAAATGCTGCACACGCATTAGACCTCCCCATAGGAAAGCATTGAATCAATGCTTTCCTATGGAGAAAAATCTGACGCATATACTGATTACACAAATTGGATCTTTAATGTGGAGTTCCTGATTTGCATGTTTTCTGAACACACATGTCTGAGCAATTGTGTGAAAATAAAATCGCTCTCCAAGATATTTTATTCCTATCCAGCCTACTGGAACAAAGTTGTAAAAAATAAGACGTTTGCATCTTTGGTGTGGGTTTGCATTAAGAAATCTTCAAAATGCTCACCTGGTTTTATGCATTTTAAATAAAATAAAACAGGCACTTTCAGTAATGTTTTCATTTGTTAAATTGTTTTGGGCAAAGCACTGTGTCTGTTTCACTTCACCTTACTTTCTTTATGATGCCAGCTGAACTAGCACGTAGCTTTACATCAAGGCATGTCGTTTTGCTGATGATACCACATTTTGCAACAGGGTTGATGTTCCAGGAGAGGTAAGCCAAATGGCAAATGATTTAGGTAAACAAAACAAATGGTCAGAGCTGTGGCAACTGACAGTTAATGTGGATAAGTGCAAGATAATGCACCTTGAATGTAAAAACCCAAGGGCAGAGTACAGAATATTTAATACAGTCCTAACCTCAACATCTGAGGAAAGGGATTTAGGGGTAAATATTGCTGATGACTTAAAGGTAGACAACGGAATAGAGCACCAGGAAATGCTAGAAGAATGCTTGGTTGTATAGGTATTAGCAGTAGAAAGAGGGAAGTGATCATGCCATTGTACAGAACACTGGTGAGACCTCACTTGGAGTATTGTACACAGTATTGGAGACCTCTCGAGAAGGATGTAGATACTTTGGAGAGTGTTCAAAGAAGGGTTTCTAAACGGATACATGTATTGCAGAGTAGAACTTACCAGGAAAGGTTAAAGGATCTTAACATGTACAGTATCTCACAAAAGTGAGTACACCCCTCACATCTTTGTAAATATTTTATTATATCTTTTCATGTGACAACACTGAAGAAATTACACTCTGTCACAAAGTAGTAAGTGTACAGTCTGTATAACAGAGTAAATTGTTGTCCCCTCAAAATAACTCCACACAGCCATTAATTTATAAACCGTTGGCAACAAAAGTGAGTACACCCCTAAGTGGAAATGTCCAAATTGTGCACAATTAGCCATTTTCCCTCTCTGGTGTCATGTGACTCGTTAGTGTTACAAGGTCTCAGGTGTGAAGGGGGAGCAGGTGTGTTAAATTTGGTGTTATTGCTCTCACACTCTCTCATACTGGTCACTGGAAGTTCAACATGGCACCTCATGGCAAAGAACTCTGTGGATCTAAAAAAAAAAAAGAATTGTTGCTCTATGTAAAGATGGCCTAGGCTATAAGAAGATTGCCAAGACCCTGAAACTGAGCTGCAGCATGGTGGGCAAGATCATACAGCGGTTTCACAGGACAGGTTCCACTCAGAACAGGCCTCGCCATTGTTGCCCAAAGAAGCTGAGTGCACGTGCTCAGCGTCATATTGATCGGTTGTCTTTGGGAAATAGACATATGAGTGCTGCCAGCATTGCTGCAGATGTTCAAAGGGTGGAGGGCCAGCCTGTCAGTGCTCAGACCATACACCGCACACTGCATCAAATTGGTCTGCATGGCTGTCGTCCCAGAAGGAAGCTTCTTCTAAAGATGATGCACAAGAAAGCCTGCAAACAGTTTGCTGAAGACAAGCAGACTAAGGACATGGATTACTGGTACCATGTCCTGTGGTCCGATGAGACCAAAATAAACTTATTTGGTTCAGATGGTGTCAAGTGTGTGTGTGGCAGCAACCAGGTGAGCAGTACAAATACAAGTGAGTCTTGCCTACAGTCAAGCATGGTGGTGGGAGTGCCATAGTCTGGGTCTGCATGAGTGCTGCCGGCACTGGGGAGCTACAG